GCTTGTGGAGCCTGCTCAGCCAACGTGCCCCCTCCAGATCTGTGCCTGCCTGCCATGGGGCTTACTGGCTCTGAGCCCTTGGGCAGAAGGGAGATTTGGAGCTGTTTATACCACTTGACCCTCCATCCATATGACCTTCCATCATCTGGGGCCAGCTGATGCTAATCAGTAAATTAAATTCAGTGGCATGCTGTCTCACTTCTCAATGGCGTTTTAGTGTGAGAGCCAGAGTCCATACAGCAGGGCTCATTACACACTGCCACAGCAGCTGGAGCTGAGAGGAGTATCAAACTCATTACCTTTTATAATATGCCCACCAATGGAGCTAGGTGTGCTGTAGATGGATTTGTCGGGGGCCAGCACTTTTGTTTGGGCATGAAGGACTGAGTTAATCTGACAGGCAGGATTCCACATTATGCAAAAGGAAGAATTCAACAGACGCATGTGGATAAAAATAATCAATGTTTTCACAACCTGCACCTCCAAGTGCAGCGGCATCTGTAGCAGTAGAAAGGACATATTCACTCCTTGCTCACCTCTTTTCCTCAGCAAACCAAGGCTCATGGCAAGTGTTTTGCAAAGTTTCACTTCAGATCAGTAAAATCCTTATGTGTTACCAAAATTTCCAGCAATAATTTTCTTGACTTGCTCAGTCAGCCCTGTGTATGTCATTGTCTAGGCCAAAAAAGCAGACTATTTTGCTCCTGTATGTGTGAAATAAGGTACAAAAACCTGCATCTGCCTATGCTTATTAGTATTCTAGCACACACTTCCATGCAAAGCTAAACTTCCAACATCTTTTTCTTGAGTTCAGTGCAACATATTTTAATAATCAATGTGCATTCACCTTATTTTTCTGCTAAAGAATAAATGGCACATACCAGTAAGGGGGACAAAATGGCAAAATTAGAGAAGAAAATTGGCCCCAAGTTCCCTGGCTTGGTAATGCATATCTTGAATCTGCCCATTAATACCTAGATCCTCAGATGCATAATGTATAATGATGATGAAGCCAGAAGAACAGGGTCTGCAGGAGCATCCCTTGCTGGCTACTGTCCATACAATACAGCAATGGACAGCCAAAATAGCAAATTCAAGAATAACCCATTTGTCATTGCATACTGTCTTCCTGGCAGTTTCATTGCTTAAGATCTTGAAGGATAAGAGGCTGTTTCTGAACTTCTGAGCTCATTAGTACTTACCGCTTACAGCCACTGGCTTACTGATGGTGTACAGTGTCTCTGATAGAGAATAAAGAGTAGTTTACAGAGCTAGGAGGAGGTGGACTTAAGGGAATGCAGTGACATTGTAAACCTTGTCCTTTCAGTGCCCCTTGATTCACATTTTACACATCCCTCTTATCAGGACTACGCTGTTGTATGGTAGGTGGGAACCTCACACAGGCCCATCACTGAGGTAGCCAATTTTAATTTCCTGTTTTCTTAGATAGGGAGATGGCAAAGATATATGTGTGTTGTCTCAATTACAGCAGCAGCAGCTAGCTAGCAGGCATGCATTTAACAGCCGTGTTAATAAGGCACATGCTCCTGGTCGTGTCTCACAGAAGTCGCTGTGCAGTCCTTGCTTCTTTTCATGCTGTGGTGGCATCTGGCACAGCTAGATCCTTGTTTGGGTTATTTAATTGCTTCTTTGCCTGCCTTATGCAAACTACATTTGTAGCTGGGTCTGACGTGGGCTTTTGGGCACTCGGACCTATGACTGCATTGCATTTAGTAAGCACTCTGCTCTGTCCTGTAGGCAGTATTTCACATAGTCATCCAGTGACTTTATTCAGTTCACTGGTCCCCAGCATTATTGTCACTCTACATCATTTACCAATACAATTTTCACAAACAAAATTAGTCATTGCAATGTAGGTGTATGGAAGCCTTCCCACTCTGGCAGGATTCATTAAAATTCCCATAATAGTCTCCTTGTCAGGGCCCTTGCCTGCTGTCTGGGAAGTATTTCAACAAGTCTGTCCTACTGTTGTGTTAATTAAACATTGTTCTATTTATAAATGCTCCATTGGTCAGTAGGAGTTCCCCACACAGAGAGCAAGGAATAGCAGTAACTAAAAGTGATGTGCCAAGAAGACGGGATTTGGCCATGCGGAGAAGCCAAGGGACAGCCCAGTCTGAGCAGAGTGCTGCTCGTGGACCTGTCATTGTTCTCATCACCTGCCCCTGGGCCATGGTCATCTTCTGACAGAAACTTTGGAGAAGGGGAGGAGAGAAGGATGTTTGCTCACTGCTTCTGACAGCAGCTATTTTATTTCTGTTTGTCTTTACATCATAATCCCTTCACAGTGATTGCCACGGAATGTTGTAGAAGGTGAAAATACATCTGGGTTCAGAAACAGACCAGGTAGGTGAATGGAGGATAAAGCCATCACCCTCATGTGCTTGCCTCCTCTCCTGCCAGCCTCCTCTACCAGCCACTTGCACAAACACGTCTCTCTTCTGGCGTTTGCATGGACATGAGAAGAGGGAGCCCTGGGGTGCTGCTTGCTGCTATAGGACTGTCTCCTGGGGCTGGCTGGGTGTCAGGGGTGTTGGCCCGGTGGTGCTCTTTCTATATGCTTCCTTTCTGCTCATTGGTTCTGTGCTGGTGTCCTGCCCAGCAGTACACGGCAAGTTGGTTTGATAGGAAGCCTCTTTTCCTTTCATGTTTACTGTGACTTCTGTTGTAGAATTTTGTACTGCCTCCAGTGATACTGCAGATCCATACCATCCACCTTCCTGTATAGATGGGAGCAGTTGCCAGTGTTTTTACTCATCTCTTTGGCTTGCTGGCCTCAGAGGCAGGAGAAGTTGGCCACCATCCTCACCAGCATATCCTTAAGAGGCAGAACCCAAACCTTTGGTAAAGCCCAGAGGAATCTGGGATTCAGGTGGGTAGTATTTGCAGTGAGATGCTTCTGAAAGTTATTTCTGTGCTTTCCCTCTTGATTTGTGCTTGGTCTGTGCTGGTCTCCTTCCACCCCACACTTTTCTTGATACACCATGCTGGTGAGGGATGTGGTAGTGCTTTCATAAAGACTTTTGCAAATGGAACTTAGCCTAGAAGCTGGTCCACAGTGTAACTCTCACGCTGTGACAGCCCCGTATATGAGAAACTGGAGGCTGAAGACATGGAGAAGAAAGAAGCAAAAATTTGAGAGTAGAAAGTGTAAAGTTTTGCCAGGCTCATCATGGATACCCATCTTTCTAGAGCTTTATCTGGATGCTCAACTCCAACTTCAAAGCATTAAGCATGCAAAATCTGTAAGAACCACATGAAACACTGGTGTACATCTGAGTGGCAACACAGCCAGCGAGAGACAGAAGAGATAAAGTTGTGCTTCTTCTTCTGGGGGAGCAGTACCTTCAATCTTGAAGGATATGACACTGATAGTGCCCTTTCTAGGTCAGGGTCCACAGATGGACAGACCAACATGATGTGCATTATGGTAACCTAAAATGTGGTTTGCCTTTAAAGCTAAAAGGTAATTAAGCGAAATGTGTCCCATTCTGCTGCCTGTTCTTCAGCCTTTTGGGTCAGCAGCTCCAAATGCAGTTTGTATGGCACAGAGGAATAAACGCAGACATTGCTTAGAAGCTCCAAATAAAAGTCTCAGGTCTTTGAAGAACATTCTTCATCTAAAAGGCTCAAGTGGTTGGTTATTAATTACCAGTTGCTTGTAGACCAACAGTCTGATATGATACCATTTATTGTCTTGAAGTTATTGCTGTCCCACAGTGACACAGCAGTGGCTGTAGGAAGGACTGTAGGTTTTGTGTTGTCTGGTTATACCACCATTCTCTGGTGCACCCGCAGAGATGGAAAAGCTAAGATCTCCAGTACAGTGAAGCATGTGCTTAAATGTAACTGATGTTTAAGCAGGCAGGCTGGCATCTTGCCTTGTGCTGGGAAACCCTCCATCACCCTCTTGCAGGCCCTTGGCTAAGCAGGGTGGGGAATCCCTCTATGATATTGCCTGCTGCAGGTTTCTCCTGGATGCAATGCTGGACTTTGCTCTCCTGCACTGTCAGTCACACACCTTTCAAAAGCACCGTGTTCACCTCTCTGAGCGCACACATGAATTATTGTTTACTCAATAACAAATCAAACAAATTCCCTCTGCTATTCAAAGCCAACCGCAATGATAAAAGAGGGCTGATTTCCAGTATTATTAGCTCCAATTAATGTCTTCCCTTCTCTTGACTGTCTTTATTTCACATACAGGTGGCTTTTTTCTTTTTTTCATTTAGAAATGTCATCACTACTTAATTAGCAATGCACTGTTACCTGAAAGTAAAAGCAAGCCATATGGCAGGGCTTTAATCTGCACTGTCACGGTCTAATCCTGTCGAAATGGCTTCCCTTTTCAGTCAAAACTGCATTTCACACTTTACTAATATGGGGCTTTTCCTTTCCTGTTCCAGAGTAATATAGCCCTGCCAGTGCAGCAAGTGTAAATTGAAGTAGCTCACAGCTCCAACCAGCAGCAAGAGGGGAGAGCGAGCAAGAGAGTGGTGTGGCGGGGGAGGCAGGGATAAGGACCCCATACCAAAAGAAGAACATGCACTCTTTCCCTGATCTGCTTCTGTGAAACTGGACCAAGTGAGTCTGGGCTCCATTTCATTAAACAACCCCCACCCTTATCGCAAAGGCCTGGACTGTGCCGTTGGGGCTGGTTATAAGGGTCTTTGTGTTTTTTACCTTTCCTTCCCCAGTGCTATTGGGAGTTTATAAAAGCAGAAAACAGGAAACCAATGTGTTGCTGTAAAATAGGAGCCATCAGCAGAAGACCTGGGCAACTTGACTGCTGCAGTTGTTACAGGGTCTAAGAAAGGGCTGACACACATGGCCTGGTGGGTAACATTTTCAAAGGAATTTTGCTCCCAGGCAGCTTCCATGTAACATATAGGACAACATCCAGATGTTTGCTCTGATATATCTGAGGAAGTGAAGCTCTTCTGGGGGAAATACATAACTATCCCTTTCTGGGGTGGCAGATGAAGAGCACAAACAGGGTTGAATCCTCCTCACAGTGGGATGAAGGGAAACATGGATTATCTGTCCCCAGGAAAAATAAGGAAGGTACTAATGTGCACTGGCTTTTTCCACAGCACTTTGCATAAGAGCAGAGGCTGGATCAGTGACTCGCTGTGTATTGCCAGCTTTTTCACCTTTTCCCAGTGCTGCATATCCCCAGATACCTGTGAGGAACTACTTGTGGTCTCTGTTTAGCAGCTGTGGATCTCAGGCTAAAATAGAGTGAGACAGGACCAAATCATAGCCAGCAATGAATCTGGACAGCTTCAGTACAAGGTCAATGCCTTCTCAATAAAAGCAATTTTTCCTTTACCTGCCCTTCCCTGCATTTTTTACCCAACCTCTCCCTCTGCAATTAGTACAGTAAGTACCAGATAGCCAGACAGAGGAAGAAAAGGGACCTCATGAAACTTCTCCCCTCTCCTACCAGTTGTTTGTGTTTGCCCAGGACAAACATGTCAGAGCCAATGTAAGAACCAGTGCTCAGTGGGGCACTTCCTCTGCTTACATCTTTCTGTGGACACACCAGGCTCAAAAGCTGCTGTAAATGCCTGCCTTCTCTGAAGGGAACAGCAAGCACCATATTGACGGGATGCACTGTGCTGATGCAGGGTGTTCGTGGGATGGAGGGCTGGGGATCCTGTCCCCCAGGCCAGAGATTCTTCCACATAGGACATGTAGGAATCGCACAGCTCTCCAACCAAAGGCAAAGCCTGACTTGTCTTTCTTTCACATGCTGTCTGAGGTGTGACACTGTGCCCCTTTTCTGATACAACACCCTAGAACTCAGATGAAGCTTGGGTATGCTCCTTTTCTTCAGTCACTTCATAGTTTGCTGGAATTTTAGTTTTTTGACCCACAATTGAACACTACAAGACACAGCAGTATTCTTCCCTGCTCTTCCCTCCCACCTCTGCCAGCAAAAGGCTGGCTATGGAAGTACTAATTGGGTCCTTACCAGATTATTAACATATACATGTATTTGTAATGGGACAGCAATGGCAACAAGGAAAAAAAAACATAAGAAAAGAGAGAGAAGGATTTAAGTGACGATGAAGTGTTTAAGTGAGGTTTTGCTTACAGTAAGAGAAGGAGCAGATCTCATAATTTAAATGCTTTGGGAAAATCTGTGTTTTGGCCTGGAAAGTCAAAGCCTAGGTGTTCACTTACAGGTAGCACAAGGGAGGATTTAAATACTTTGATGTCCTTGACAGCAGGTATTTCACTAGGGAAAAAGACTCGAGCATGTAGGTGATAGGTACAGGTATTTAAAGCTGTACATTGAAATGAGTTTTCCTACACAATCTAAAGAGCAAGATAGCTCTGCTGCTATACATGATTACAGCTCCTCTGACATGAGGTGTTTCAGCCTGGTTGCAGGTCAGCCACACCAGACATCTGCATGGCCACAGATGGGGAAACTTAGAAGTGTCACTTTGAAGGAAGCAGAAAGCAAAGGCTGGTATCAGCTCTGCCGTGCTGCTGGTTCACTGAGCACCTCAGGTGTGCTTTGCAGAACCAATGCAGGAAAAGGCTGAAGATGCAGAGAGACGGCATGTGTGTGACGGTCCTTTCATTCAGGAGCATGAAAGAGATGGATGAGTATCAAGAGAGAACATCCAGCTGCAGGTCCTTTTCCCTTCTTTTTTTTTCCAGCTTTTGGGTGAACTGCAAAGCCGAGGGGGACTGTTAACTGCCTGGGCCTACCCATTTGTCTCTCTCTACTTCTCCGTCCTTAACCCCCCTCCCTCTCCCCTCCCTCAGCTCGGGAGGGTGGAGGTGCGATTCGCTATGCCAGTTTTTTATTTCCAGCACGCTTGACAGGCTGGGCGAGGAAGGCGTTAATGTTTTCTGACAGGCCCCCTCTAATTGTTGGAGCTTTTCTTCTCTGCCTTTTCTGTGAAATTCTGACTTAGGCGAGCAGCATAACAAAATGCTCTGGCATTGAAATGTGCGCTTGCACTACACTGGGCTCGGGGAAACAGCATTATTCATGAAGATTTTCAGCTGTTTTTGTCTTTTAACTAACCTTTGAGTTTGATCAGAGGCTAGCCGGGCTCCCTTTCTCAAAAGGCGGTCTTGGCAACCCGACAATGGAGCCAAACTGTTTTCCCTGTTAAAGAGATAACTATGCCGTTGAGTTGGTACATGGGGGAAATTAATCTTCAGGCGCATACAAATGATAGCTTTACCTCGGTCTGCAATCGCCTGCATGGGATTATTAATAGGACGGGAGTAAGGAGCACGAGAAATTCAGTCTGGGGCAGGGAATTTAAAAAAAAAAAAGTCCCAACCCCAAGCCCATCATCCCTTTTGATTGCATAAAGCCTGCGATTGATTCCTCACCACTTGCCTTTTGCAGCAGGAATTAGCTCTGCATTGTGCGCGCTGACACGCTAAAAGCGAGCTGGCTTGGGAGCAAGAAGTTGCTGTGCCCCGGGACGGACCGGGGTGGAGGCCCGAGGCTTGTGGAGGGGGGGCTTCTCCCCTCTCTCCTCTGCAGGAGGGGAGACCCAGAGTCCCCCCTACACTTCGAGGCGAGGTAATCCCTGAATACACTGAGTAACAGGCGCTGCATTACGGGGCTGCCCTGATCCCCCGGCCGTGGCCGCGCCGCCTCGCCTTGGGCAGGTGCCCGCTCTTCTCGCGTGCTGCCCGCCCCGGTGCGGAGGGAAGCGCGGGCGCGGAGAGGGGCGGAGCGGCGCTAACGCAGCTCCCCCCCCCCCGCCCAGCCCCGCCGGCCCCTGCAGCGCCGCCGCCACCGGGATAAAGGCTGAGGCGTGACACGCGCGGGCGCAGCGCTGCCCGCTGCCTGCCCGGCCCCCCCGCCGCAACCCCCAGGTGCCCCCGGGAGTCCGCACACAGAAGGCAGGACCTGCGCCGCAGGGGGACAGCGGGGAAAGGGGGAAAGGGTAGAACAGAGACACACAAAAACTGAATGAAATCCTAGTAACAATCAAAATAAAGGAAAAAGGGAGGAAAAAAGTTTTTAAGCAGGGGAAAGAAAACGGTGTCGCGGGGATGGGCGCCTCTCCCAAGGGATGATCTCCGGGGTACCCCCGCCGCTCTCACCTGAGCGCGGAGGGTTGTGGGGAGCGGCGGCTCCGCAGGGCCAGCGCTGGTCCCACTCGCTGGAACGAAGTTTGGTCATCGGAGGGTCCTGTGGGGAGGGTGAGAGGCTGGAGCGGGCATGGGGGCGAGGGTAAAAACTCACGCAGAGGGGACGGTCCGGTCCCCCGACTGGGGTTTGGGTTAGGGTGGGCAGCGCTGCTCACCTCCGCGGCCCAACGCGGCCGTGGTGGGGGTCTAGCAGTGCTTCCCCATCGCTGCCAGAAGGTCTTGATTTGGGAGCTGGAGGGGGAGACACGGACACTGGGGAAGAGGCGCTTGTTAGCGGGACGCTTTTCCAGCATTACGATAAATACATAATAGGTAAATAAATTAATAAATCCGTGGCCCAGTAACCTCCATCTGCACCCCCCTCCCGCTTGTCCCGCCTCCCTCCCACCTCCCCCCCATCCCTGAGTAGCTCTAAAACTTATCCTGCTCCCAAAGAAGTCCCTGATTTATGGAGTTTACTAATGCTGACTGAATACTGTCTGTCAGGGCGCGCTGAAAGGCTCTCCGCGCTCATACAAGAAAAGGCTTTGTGTTGCTAAGCGATTAGAGCAGATGTAATGAGATTTACCCCAATCCTGCTTTGCCCTTTCCCTATCTTCAGGAAAATTGTGTGAGTGTGTGTCTGTGTGTGTGTGTTTTCTTTCTTCCTTTCTTTCGGGAGGGGGCTGAGGGGAAGAGGGAGGGAGGAGGTGGTGAATTTCTGAGCCTGCCTTATACATTGTAGCGAACAACAGCGTAACTTTGCCTTTAGTTTAATGAGTCTGGATATTTACTATTCAGTAGTGAGCAAAAAAGAACACCTGTCTACACAAGGAAGAGAAATTTCGCCTTTGTAACAGAATGAAACATTATCCTAATGTTATATTCATAGCTATAAATTACTGGCTGCACTTTTCTTTTCTTTTGCATACCTTATCTGCGCACTTGCGAAAGTGGGTAAATAAAAAAGGGAGATGCTGTAAAACGGAGAGCGGACGGAGGCATATAACGGTTATTATTTTCATAACTAAACATTAGTTCCACTAGCGGTTAAAACAATGAGTGTTTGTGCTGCTGAAGTAATGAGGGATTTCATGACCCCAGCGTGTCCCGTCCCCTGTGCGTCTCCCTGTCGTCGTCGTCGTCGTCGTCGTCCCCCCCCCCCGGCATTAAATCATATATTGATCATTTGATCATTTCAGGACTCGGGGGGAGGAGGCGAAGGGGCAAACGTGTGTTTATTTTTAAAGCAACTCAGAAAGGACCCGTGCATTGATATGCACACCTATGTATGGCCACGGCTGCTTATGCGTGTGTGCACACACATACAGCTGCACATATGTGCACACTGGGAAAATCCCGGGGTGCTCCAAAGTTTTTCCCTCCTGTTTTTCTTTTTAGAAATAGCGCATCCCTCGCAACCCGACGGCCCATTTGGAGCTGAGCAGGCTGGGTTTTTTTTAACTCCGTGCAACACACTGGTTCTCCCCGCTCTTTGTTGGGGTTTTTTCTCTCTCTCTCTTTTTAAAGATGCATTTTGCGCTTTGCTTTCCGCTTGGCTTAGTGCACGCAAACTGAATTTGCAAGTGATGCAGGAGCCAGGCGAAAAGGAGAAGGAGAATTCTGGTCACGTCCTTGCTAACTGACAACAAGCAGGCTAGCCAAAAAAAAAAAACCGGGGGGGGGGGGGGGGGAAGAGAGGAGGAGAGTCCAATTTCTTTTTTGAGTCTTGGTAATTGGGTACTTTTACAGGCAGATCACGCTATTTGGGTAGAATAACAAGCTTAGAAAGACCAGTGTCTCTAAGCTGCCACCCAGTTCTACTACTTTATTTATTTATTTCATTTCATTCCACTTCGCCTCTCGCTTCCCATCATTTGCCCCCTCCCCCATCCCCCGACGGATTTATTTACCCGGCCGCTCTCTTTGCTGAGGCACCGCGGTGGCCCTTGTGCCTTCCTCCCTCCCGTGTGCCTTCGTTCCCCCCCGTGCTTTTCTGCCCCGTGGGGTCCTAGCCGCGGAGGAAGGGGGTCACGCTGCCGAATTGCAGGGTGGAGCGTCCTCCTTTTTCTGGGACCTGGGTTTTTGGGGGCGTGTGGAATTCTTTAATGTGCAGTGATTTCAGGAGGGACAATGCAATCATTAATCACCTCCTCGCCTTTTGCTTTGGGTACAGCATTTGCAACACAGAAGGGCAAGAAAACAATGGTGATACCGCTGGATCTTTGCATATTTATATAAAGATATTTATATATATATGTTACATCCGTCAGATACAAGCACTTCATAAGCAACTTAGCTCTGGCACAACATCACTGAACATTTTGTCCTTACATTCATCGTTGTCAATGGCAGAAAGAAATAAGTAGAAATTGCATGCAGCAGGCAGCCGATCATTTTCATTAAAAAAAGTTTTATTACGAAACTAGTTTGTATAAAACAGGGTTATACAGGACCTTTGTCAGTTTGTAATAAAACAGTAAGAAAAGGCAGTGGCATAGGGGTCGTTTGTTTGTGTATTTTTTTTTTCCCAAAAGGCAGCATATACAAATGGCTACCATTCTGCGTTTGGACAATAGCTGCATAAACTTTGTTCACTTTGAACATTGTTTAATAATATTATTAATACATTAACAAAGTTTCTATAAAGTAAGACACGTTGGTGCTAAAGTACATCTGGAGGAAATCCAAGTCCTTTACAAAACCACATACAAAAAATGCCAGTTGTAAGGTAACGTCGACTACAAGTCTAAACATGAAGAGGTAATAAGCATTACATATTAAAAAAAGTATCAAGATATACACATTTTAAACCATTTGTACAAAACCTCTATAAATCTCTCTCTCTCTTATGTACAAAAATAGCTTAATATATCCCCAAACGGGTTAGGATAGATACAAATAGATTTTCTTATAATAAAAAAATTCACAAAAAAAAAAAAAAAGGAAAAAAGATTGGAAGCATTCTATGATGGAAACGAGAGGGAAAGCTCGGAGAGAGGGGAAGGCGAGGTGAGGAGAAGGGGCGGGGGCGCACAGAGCTTCTTTGAGTACAGCATAGCTTAATTTCAACACCTCCACAAACATTGGGGAACTAAATTTGTCCACAGAGTGATGAGCGCCGGTCTCTGCAGGGTCGCGGCGAGGCGCGGAGGGGGAGTTCCCTCCCTTTGCGGGAGAGGCAGAGCTCCTCCGCCGGCCGAGGAGAGCAGCGACCGTCCCCGCCACCCGGCTCCCCCGCGGGACCCCCGCTCCACCGGGGCGCAGTCCGTGGCAAAGCCCGGCCGGTGCCCCGGGACAGGGGCAGGGCGGCCACCCCGACCCCGCTGTGCCCGCCCGCCGAGCGAGAGACGTGCCCGCACCGCCCTCCGACGGCGGGGGAGAGGAAAATGCAACAGGTTCTTTCTCTGGGTGGATTTCTGTCTTTCTCTGTGTGATATATATCGGGTTTTTTTCCCTTTTGCAACTGTCCTGTAACAACAAAAGAGAGAGGAGGTCAGAGCCGCGCCGGGACCAGCGCAGCGCCGGCTGCCGAAGCCGCTCGTAAGTACCGGGCACCCCCCACCCTGCCCGGCAGGTGCAGCCCCCGTATCTCCCCGTGTCCTCCCGGTTCTCCCGGCCTCCCCCGTCCCTCCCGGGGCGCGGACCCACCTGCCGCGTTTCAGAACCAGCTGGTGAAGTCGAGCAGCTCCTGCTCCTCGGGGCTGAGCGGGTCGTAGGAGCCCTCGTCGGAGGAGTAGGAGGAGACGGGGGAGCCCGCCATGGAGTTCATGTCGTGGGAGTAGCTGGGCGAGATGGTGGGTGAGAGGACGCCGGCCTGGAAAGCGGCGCTGACGGCGTCGTGCTCGTCGAGCAGCTGCTGCAGGGCGCGGATGTACTCGACGGCGGAGCGGAGCGTCTCCACTTTGCTCATCTTCTTGTTGGCGGCGCCGTTGGGGACGTGCTCCCGCAGGGTGGCGAAGCCCAGGTTCACCAGCTTCACGCGGTTGCGCTCCCGCTCGTTGCGCCGCGCCACGGCCGCTGGCTGCTGCTGCGGGAGGCTGTACCCGAACCCACTGAAGTTGAGCCGCCGCTTGCAGCGCATCAACTCCGGCGAGGCCGAGCGCTGCCGCTTGGCGGCCCGCGGCGCCGACGGCTTCCCGCCCGGCGACGGCTGCCCGCCCGCCGGGCTCAGCTGCGGCGGCGGCGGCGGCGGTGCCCCCGGGGGCGGCCCCGGAGGGGCGGCGGAGGCAGCGGCGGCGGCGGCCACCGCCGCGGCGAAGAAGCAGGCCGGCTGCAGGAAGGGCGGCTGCCCGGCGCCGCTGGCCATCCTAGCGGGGCTGCCGCTGGCCATGGGCGCGGGGACGACCGAGCGGCGGCCGGTCCCCGTGCTCCCACGGCCGGGAAAAATTCAAAGAGAGGAGGAAAAGGAATTATTTATAAAAAAGTATAAATAAAATAACAGAACAGGCGGCGGGGGAAGGCGCAGCGGCGGCCGGCGGGAGCGGGCGGCGGAGCCCGGCGGGGATGGCTCTGCCCGCCCCCCTCCCTCTCACCCTCCGTGCGGCGGCCGCGGGGAGGCTCGTGTCGCTCGCGTGTGCGCAGCCTGCTTTGCAAA